GTCCTCCCTCTGCCCTTCCCGCATTAATGCAGCAGATGGCGCTCCTGGCATGTGACTGAGCCTGGCACAGAGATACGAACACTCATCATGACCCGGGATATTGAACCCAGATTTGTGGAGAGATGCTGAGCACAGCGGGAGGACATCTGCCCAAATGTGTCTTCCGAATAACATTCTGTAACAATTTCTGCTCAAAGCTCAGCACAGCTGGAATACATGTGCCGTGTATCTGGCCAGCCGGCCATGTGATTCCCGCACCCTTCGTACCTTCTACCATACTATACAGTGCCAGTACAAGTCTACAGGCAGGAGGAAGCATTTCCTCAGTCTCCCCTCCCCCAGTGATCAGTCTGCTGCAGGTAGAAGGAAGCATTTCCTCAGTCTCCCCTCCCCCAGTGATCAGTCTGCTGTAGGCAGGAGAAAGCATTTCCCCAGTCTCCCATCCCCCAGTGATCAGTCTGCTGCAGGAAGGAGGAAGCAGTTTCTCAGTCTCCCCTCCCCCCAGTGATCAGTCTGCTGCAGGCAAGAGGAAGCATGTCCTCAGTCTCCCCTCCCCCAGTAATCAGACTGCAACACTGTAACTTAGTAGCAAGGTGAGAGGCTGAATATTACTTAGCATGCATGTACTTAACATAAATAAAAGATATCTGATGCTGGCTCTGCTTTAGGATGTCAGCACTATACAAAACACTGAATAGAATAACCAGAGTTAAAAGGAGAACTATGGGGTCAGGGCTTTTCCCCATAGTTCTCCTTAGGGTAACGGGAGGACACAAACTAGCGTCCTCCCGTTACATGATTGTGCTATCTCTGTGTCGGCATCTCAGTTCAAAAAGTAGATGGTGACCCTGATTGATGCCTGAACAAAGATGGAAGGAGAAGCAGATGAAGGCATTCAGTCAGGGGTAGTATCCATGAGAGGTAAAACTCCTGGAAATTCTAGCACTCACACATGACATCGCATGCACACACTCACCATAAGAACATATCTGATACTAGGTCTAGTTTATCAATTGGTGTCAGTGTACCTGGTCTAGGGACTTGCTGTCCTCCATATACCAGTGTGGCTCCCTCTTTCACTCCCGTCTGGCAATATTCGAGGAGTTTATCCAAATGGGCTTTGTGGTTCTGAGGGCCGTGGTCTGTAGACCTGTCTAGAGGGTCCCCGATCTTCATCTTCTTCACCTCTTCAACCTGGAATGAGAAAACAAACTCAAAGGTTTGTCTACACGGCCGTTGCTGTCGGATCAGTGACGTCACAAGCGGGGTGCTGGGGGGTGCGGCCTGCACTGGGTGACGCCATCAGAGTGTGATGATTGACAGTCATTTTGGTGTCACCCACCCTCTGAAAAGTCGGGCACTAGGTCATGAACCAAGAAGCCCGACAGCTGCACCAGAGAGGACCCGGTGGCATTCCTTATCCCGCTGGATGAACGTCCCCTCCTCTTTTCGCCGGCGTCCATCACCACGGCTGAGGGTAGTTAAGTGCGTGTGACATCATTACACTCATGCACGATGATGTTGCGCATGTGCATAATGACATCACCTGTGTGTATGATGACGTCCCAGGGGGTGATACCTGGGGGTCGCACTGGGTGACACCTGGCAGCAAAGCTCAAGCATTGGCTTTGACCTGCTTTGCCTGCAATACAATCAAATCTCCAATAGGATCTGCGGCACGCAACGCAGGTCAAACGAAGGCTCACGACTCTCATCCACAATTCACCGCAGAGGGAAATGGGAATCTGCGGTTGCCATGCGTTTCAATATCATGTCATACAACACCTGTGTACTCCCATTGGAGGTGACCAGCAATGTGCGGATCACAGTAATCCATAACAGCAAGTCGGAATTCTTCTGGGACCAGTGAACCTGATTAGCTGCTATGGGTAACTGTGTTTCAGGAACAGGCAACCTCGGCACTCCAGCTGTTGTGGGACTGTAAGTCCCACGAGGCATTGCACAATCCTGACAGACACATACATGACTCCCAGAGGCAGAGACATGTTAGGTTTTGTAGTTTCAGCACAGCTAGAGTGCCGAGGTTGCCTACTCCTGCTTTATTCTATATACCAACAGCTCTGATTGCATTGACTTATATGACAACCTTGCATGGATTGGGCATCGCCACTATCGGACTGGTCCCTATAAAACTCTACAGGGGCCAAGAATGAAGTGTAACAGAACGTAGCAACCAATCATTTATCTTCGCCATTTATATAGCGCTGACAATTTACATCTCACATTCTGTACGTTCACTTCAGTCCCTTCTGACAAAAAAAGCTTACAATCTAAAGGTTCCCATCTCACATACATACCAGGGCCAACTTATGCAGGAGTCAATTGGCAGCATGTCTTTGTAATGTGGAAGGAAACCGGAGTACCTGGAGCAAACCCATACCAGCACAGGGAGGACAGGCAAGTTCCATGCCCTGGCCAGGCTTCAAGGACGCTACCTGTGGCAGCCGGTGTCATTGCAACCAATGAGCAACCACTCTGAGCAGCAGTGGCGTAACAACCGGGGGGGCAGCAGGGGCGCGGGCCCCGGGCGCAAAGTGAAGGGGGGGCGCCGGGTGAAAATGGCACTTTCGGCTCCTCAGATCACCCCAATTCCTGCACCTTCACTCCTCAGATCACCCCAATTCCTGCACCTTCACCCCTCAGATCACCCCAATTCCTGCACCTTCACCCCTCAGATCACCCCAATTCCTGCCCCTTTACAGCTGGTCTCAATCGCAGATTAGGAAACTGGCAGCAGGTCTTTTGAACCGGTCACGTTGAAATTTGCGGTGGTAAGAACTACCTGAATCCGTTGCCTGTCTCGGAAAGTCACAAGGCTATTATGAATTAGGCAAATTAGGTTGTTTTAAAGGGACCGACCACCAGAAAAATGTCATCAATGCTTTATTGCATTTCCCTGTTTACGTATCAAGATCAATGACAGTATTTTCACTGCAAGCTGCTACAGGGAGAGGTCACTGGGGGGCCCCCCATCGAAATGTTGTTATGGGGCTGCCTAATTTATTGTTATGCCCCTTGCGCATCTCCTTCCAATTCTGCATTTGCCCGTTCTGGGTGTCACTCACCACTCTCCGCACATACTCATCATGAATGGACGACTCAACGAACAGTCTTCCAGCTGCAATGCAATTCTCCCCCTTGTTGAAGAAGACGGAGCTCATTCCCTACAGGGAAAAATAGAGATGACATTTGTAAATTGGACACTGGAAGAAAAAAAATGTTCAGTTTGCATTCTCTCTGCTTCCCTTCCAAGATATCAATGAGTCGGCTGGCTTATACTCATGGAGGGAGCAGCGAAGTACAACCATTGTGTAGCACTGCAAAGCAGGAAGCAGGGTCTGCATAGGTAATGGTCAGACACAGCTGTTCCCATGTCTATGGATAATACTAAATCATCCATTGAAACAGTAATACAATGAACACATCTAAGATCAGTTACACCAAACCGATCTCTTCTTCCTGTATATCTATAAAGAAAATGGATGCAATCCCTTTATCTGTCCCATTTCCCTCTGTGGCTGTTCTCGTGATAAAGTCTCACCATTCGGACGGCCTTGTCCAGGTCGCAGTCTGAGAAGATAATAAGGGGAGATTTCCCACCCAGCTCCAGAGACACTTTCTTCACATTGCTCGCCGCACAGCTGGAGGAGAAGACAAGGATAATAGTCAGTATGTCTGCTTCAGACCAGACCCAATTCCTGCACCTTCACACCTCATATCACCCCAATTCCTGCACCTTCACCCCTCAGATCAGCCCCAATTCCTGCACCTTCACCCCTCAGATCAGCCCCAATTCCTGCACCTTCACCCCTCAGATCAGCCCCAATTCCTGCACCTTCACCCCTCAGATCAGCCCCAATTCCTGCACCTTCACCCCTCAGATCAGCCCCAATTCCTGCACCTTCACCCCTCAGATCAGCCCCAATTCCTGCACCTTCACCCCTCAGATCAGCCCCAATTCCTGCACCTTCACCCCTCAGATCAGCCCCAATTCCTGCACCTTCACCCCTCAGATCAGCCCCAATTCCTGCACCTTCACCCCTCAGATCAGCCCCAATTCCTGCACCTTCACCCCTCAGATCAGCCCCAATTCCTGCACCTTCACCCCTCAGATCAGCCCCAATTCCTGCACCTTCACCCCTCAGATCAGCCCCAATTCCTGCACCTTCACCCCTCAGATCAGCCCCAATTCCTGCACCTTCACCCCTCAGATCAGCCCCAATTCCTGCACCTTCACCCCTCAGATCAGCCCCAATTCCTGCACCTTCACCCCTCAGATCACCCCAATTCCTGCACCTTCCCCCCTCAGATCACCCCAATTCCTGCACCTTCACCCCTCAGATGAGCCCAATTCCTGCACCTTCAGACCTTTCACATCAGATGGGCCTGTCTAAAACATTATGGAGATGGGGGGTGGGCCAAGGGCTCAGAGGGGCACATTAGCGTTTGTAACTAACAGCATAATGACCTGTCAGGCTATAACAGCAGCTCTGTATTTGTAGGGACTAGGAGCCCGCTGGAGCATCCAGATGATCTTCTGGGTGCCACTGGAAATACTTTAGGTTGCCTATCCCTGCTCTATAATATTACACCACTTGCCCCCTACCCCCTCCTTACCTTTTCATGATCTGCTTGCCTATAGGGGTGGATCCAGTGAATCCTAATTTCCTGACATGGGGGTGGTCAGAAAGCCGTTGCCCAATTAGAGATCCTGCAAAGAGCATAGATATTTGTTTGTATATAATGATGAGGATAACAAGCAAATAGACTGAAAAGGTCAAAAAAAAAAAAAAAATAACCCCCCTGCCCCCCCCCTTTC